GCTCTAATGGGCTCATATGGGCTCACATGAGATCTGCCCGGGCAATTTTGGGCTCGTCTCGCGAGTTTTTTTATTTTATTTTATTTTTATTTTTTTCCTATTAAAATATATTAATTTTCACGCTATTTATTTAAATATTAGAGAAATTCTTTTAAACCTCAAGAGCAAATAAAAAAATCGTGGTTTCTTTTGGCGTCGGAGTCGAAGTTTTCTTTCCTGACAAGAAAACCCCTAAACAAAATCCTTCATTTCTAACTCGGTTTTGCTTTGGCACAGAAGCGCCAATTCGATTGAACTCGGATACACTGCAAGAATTCCGCCATGGATGTGATCAAGACGCAGCAAATTTCATCGAGGCCAGTCGAGAAGGTTGTAGTCCACCCCCTGGTTTTACTCAGCATCGTTGATAACTACAACCGAGTCGCCAAGGAATCCCGTAAACGAGTTGTAGGAGTCCTACTTGGTAGCTCTTTCAAGGGCACCGTCGATGTCAGTAATAGCTATGCAGGTCTGTATTCGTCTCTCTTTCCGACATCTCTTTAGCGCTTGTCAAAAATATTGCTGTAGCGTGTTTGGATCTGGATGTTCTAGTCGCTTGATTCGGTTTAATACCTGAAAGTGGATGCTGGTTGATTTTTATGATAACATTACGAAGAATCTGGGCATTTTGTTGGGTATTTCTCTGAAATTGATGTTAGCTGAACAGAAGTTGGAATTTGCTTTAGAGACTGGAAATGTACCTTTCTTGTGGTTGCCCTGATTCGCGAAATAGACATGAAAAGAAGCCATCTTTTCGCTTTGGCTGCCCTGATTCGCAAATTCTCCTAGGTTGCTTCTCATTAGGAATTGATTAGGATTCGGGCACTCATTTGCCCGCCTTTTCCACTTTTCATGATTTGTATGACACTAGAAGTTCTTTGGGTAACCTATACTCGGTTGACCCATGTAGACGCCTCGTGCCGGAAGGTCAAGGAAGTTGGTGACCTGATGACACGGGAGCTGGCGAGCTCCCGAAGCCCCGATGAACGGCGGCTTGGATTGCAGGTTTGGATTTGACAGTAAAAAATTTCAACCCTTAAGACACTCGTTGTGTTAAAACTTTCTCTTATCCATCTGACATGAGATTGTTAGGACTTTTCGGATGAGCCGTTACTAATTTTAGGTAGAGTTTTTATTTCTCTCCGTTTTAGAGTTTTGTTGTTTCCCATACATTGTTAATAGTCTACTCAGTATGAGTCTAGTAGGGCGGTTATTGTTGTGAAGGGCAGTCTGCAAGTTTTCTATCTTTGAACTACATCAATTGGTCTTGATCTATGTTTAGTTGTGACCTTTGTATGGTATACTCTCTTTATTTCAGTGCCCTTTGAAGAAGACGAGAAAGATCCGAGCATATGGTTTCTTGACCACAACTATCACGAGTCGATGTTTTCAATGTTCAAGAGGATCAATGGTAATTTCTCTACTTCTAGTACCTTTTGTATTTTTCTATGTTGAGGATTGTTTGCTTATATCATCCATCATTTGTGGACGTGTCAGCTAAGGAGCACATCGTAGGTTGGTATAGCACAGGTCCAAAGCTACGGGAAAATGACCTAGATATTCACCAGTTGTTCCACAAGTAAGATCTCCGTACTTGTTTGGGATTGAGTTTCATAAAATTTTATTTTCAAGTTCTCAAATTCTGTATAGCTTCAAACTATTCTGTTTGTCCTCTGTGTTCATTTTATCTAATTTTCTGAGCTACTTTACTTGTGTAATTTTGTAACACCAATTTAGACCCTTTTGAAAGCCATTCTATGGTCAGTCAATGATGAATATTGTATCCTTTTGGCCAATGTTGTTTTTCTGATTACTCTGCGAGTCATTCACACGCTCTTTTGTGTTTTTTTAGTTATGTACCGAATCCTGTGCTTGTGATTATTGATGTACAACCCAAGGAGCTGGGAATACCTACTAAAGCCTACTATGATGTTGAAGAAGTTAAAGAAGTACGGTTTTATCTCTTTTTTCCAATATTAGCTTAATGGTCCTGAATTAACTATAAAAACGATTTTCTAGTTGCCCTTACATATCTTCTAATTTGGGATGACAGAATGCTACCCAAAAAAGCCAGAAGATCTTTGTTCATGTACCTTCAGTTATTGCTGCCCACGAGGTCGAGGAAATTGGTGAGTTATAAAATGAGATTCATATCTTCGTTTTAGGATGTTTTATCAGTTCTTACCTCGTAACCTTGTTGTTTGGTCTAAATACAGGTGTGGAGCACTTACTAAGGGATGTGAAGGATACTACCATTAGTACACTTGCTAATGAGGTCTATTTTCTTACTGTTACTTCTCTTAAAATTGCAGTGCTCTTCAATCAGTTTTCTTTTATTCAAATCACCTTCCCGAATTTTGTGATTGACTCGATGTACCGAGCTCGACGTCTAGATGGAAGCATTAGGTTACAAAAGGCTTTGGCTTATATAAATGTTTTTTTTTATAGGTTACAGGCAAACTTACTGCTTTAAAAGGTTTAGATGCACGACTACGTGAGATTCGGGGCTACCTCGATCTTGTTATTGATGAGAAGCTTCCATTAAACCATGAGATTCTTTACCATTTACAGGTATCATTTTCTCCTCGCTTCTTCCATTAGCTTTTTAACCATCTCACTGCATTGTATAGATGTACCTATGTATGCGTGTGTATAATAGTATGTATTTGATGATGTGCTTTCTGCACTAGCTCTCCAATCCAAATGACAAATATTCCGCAACTCCAAACACGTTTTCCATTGTTTATGTGGCATGCCTTGGTTCTGAGTACACGTGTCGTGCTAATCTGATTCCCAGCTAGGTGACATTGCTTGTAGTTTTGCTACTCAAAAAGACACACTGTTAATAAAGGAAGAAACAGTTCTTAAGAAAATTCTTATGAACAAGAACAGTTTATAGGGTTTCACACCAACTAGATCTATACCGATATTTTTATTTTCATGATAAAATTGCAGGATGTGTTCAACCTTCTTCCCAATCTAAATGTGGCAGAATTGATAAAATCATTTGCAGGTAAACACTAACTCAAGATTCTTCTCCATTGGCTATTTAACATGTTTCCTTGAGAATATTCATCTATATTTACCCTACTGTGCAGTAAAAACCAATGATATGATGCTGGTTATTTATCTTTCCTCACTCATCCGGAGTGTCATTGCTCTACATAATTTAATCAACAACAAGGTAAAATCCCTCCCTCTGCACCAAATTTACGCCCGCATATTATACATATCAATGAGCTTATAATCATTCATTGCTCTCGTGCAAAATCTGTTCTCTAGATGCTAAACAAAGAACACGAGAAGGCCGAGGACGCAAAACCAGCAATTGTTCCCGCCGTGTCTGGAAACTAACATGCAACTTCCATCGACAAATCTGTTGTTTTAGAAGTTGAAGGAACTAGTTATCTGTGTTGAGTTGTTGGTAGATGACATCTTTGTTTTATCCTATTGGAAGAGATGGCTAGTTTCGGAGCATGTATTTTCCTGACCATTTTTGTGTTCAATGTTAATTGTACACCCTCAGTTTATTTGCTCAAACATGTTGTCACGTAGACCACTCATTTATCTTTTTCTCAGAAGGTTCCTCCAATCTGTAGCATTGTTGATGTCTTATATAAAAGGAAATTTGATGTCGGGATGAATGAAAAGATGGATGGATGGAATCCTATGCTTCCAATTATAGTAACTTTGAATTAGTAATAGTTTGATGTTAGAATTGATGAGAAAGTTCCTTGAGAAGGATTATTAACATGAGTTACTGTTGGGAAGTTGGGCATTGACATCTTAATGCGTTGCAATTTGGATATTGATCAATCTTTATGCTTTCCAGCAGCTATACAATCTGAATCGGCTATCACTGTAGAGACCACTCGAGTTCTTGAGACGGGAGAGGGGTGCCCCGAGTGCTGGGCCAATTTCTTCGTCGGTTGGAGATTTTAATGCTTTGTAATCTAGACATTGATCGATCTTTATGCTTCCTAGCAGCTATACAATCCGAATCGGCTACCACTATAGAGACCGCTCAAGTTCATGAGACTGGGGAGGGGCGCCCCGAGTGCTAGACCAATCTCTGTGTCAGTTGGAGACCTTAATGTATCTTTATGCTTCCAAGCAGCTATACAATCCAAATCGATTACCACTATAGAGACGGCTTGCTGGGCCAATTTCTGTGTCGGTTGGAGACCAGGTTTGGGATTGGGATTTAGAGAGAATTTACAATTAATTAAAAGATACTTATCCAAATTTAAAATTTAAAGAATTAAGGAGGGAGAAAACGATCCAATAAGCGCTTAACAATGGCGGCAAGCCGGCACAAAATTATTGTACAGAAGATTTGACAACTTGTTTCGGACATAGCCATGCATCTCTACTGTAAGAGTGTCTTCCCTTGATTTTTTTTTGTCTCTGCTTTTGCTTTCCGTTGCTGTGTGAGCACATTCCGGCTCTATATCTCTAATTCATTCTATTATACCTATTGAATTCGATGCATTTATGTTTAACCGGTTGTTCAAACAACTATCCAGAGTTCCTAGAGCTCCTTGTAAGGCTTGTTGGAAAACCTGTTGTCGTACTTGATTCCAATTTGAAGTTGAGTTGTAATTCATTGGCGATTGGTTGAGTTGTAACTATTAGTTTGCTTGCGTAGTTGGTTGTTGATAATTTTACATGTTGTCCCTTGAAGTTGACATCAGATATGACAGAAACAATATTAGTTCTATGAGTTAGAGAATTGTTTCTGGCTGCGTCCAATTGAATTTAAGCAGTTGTCGGTGGAGAGTTGTGGAAGTTCTGTATGTCACAGAGAGCGTAAGATGCTCGACGAAATGCCTGATCAAGACTTTTCTATCTCATACGCTGTTCATGTAAAGGTTTTACTGTTTGTGTTTGATGTGGTACTCTGAGGTGAAGATTCTAGAGCTAGTTCTTGGAGTTGTTTATGAGAACACCGCTTGGCATGTTCTAGCCTCGAACTTTTAACTGTTCAAAGATATTTATGCTCTATTTCAATTTTGACCATGAATGTGGAAACCTCTTGTTGTCATTGGAGGAATTTGAAGCTCCAATTGGGTTGTTGCTGTAAGGCTTGGTGACCTGCTGTAACTTTCTTGATCCTTCAGTCATGGGCAAAGCTTCAAGAGATAAGAGGGTCTTGACTACAATTCAATTCGGCTATTTGTCCTTTTGGTTCATTACCTTTTTCCACGTTTTATTATTTACTTCGTCTCGTTTGCAGAATATATACTATAGTAAAGCAAAAGAAGAAGGCTGGCGTGCTCGAAGTGCGTTCAAACTTCTGAACATAGATGAAGAATTTAACATATTTGAAGGTTTGTTCTTGTATTGGGTTCCTCTTTCTTAAAATATTTTTACCTTTCTGCCAGGATGTCAATCACTGAGATGGTCCAGATGAATGGTAATTGGTACTAAATATTCCTTTCCAAGAATACTAATTTCCTTTGTTTTTTAGGAGTTCTATGTCCTGGAGATGTCATTATTCCCTCGTGAACAATGCCGCAATATTTTGGATTAACCTTCCATAACAGAATAGTTTTCCAGAATCCTCTAGAAATCTGTGTGATCTATTTAGTTTTGCAATCTACCTGTGTTATCTTGTTCATGAACTTTCAATTGCAGGAGTCAAGCGAGTGGTGAATTTATGCGCAGCCCCTGGTAGCTGGAGCTAGGTAATCTCTTTTGGGTGTCTTCTTGTTGCAATCTGTTTATCAAACTAGTGGACAATGCTTTATGGGGGAAATACAATTTTTCATATAAAATACAACTAATTCTTACAAGAATTCTGCAATATGAATCTCTCTTCTCATCTAGTTTCTTTTTTTCTTAGTCAGTCAAGTTGAAAGGTTTGCTGTGATCTCCTCTGTTCCTTGAGATTATTGCTTTGACGTGTCGATTATTTTTTACATGTTTAGCATTGGTAAAACTTGTCAAGTATGATAACGAATTACGCGAGGACCATAATCAAAGCTAGGTTTCTGTTGTTTTACATTTTCGAGTTTTTTTTTTTTTTTTTTGTTGCAGCTGAAGTTGCTTTTCCCGTAGTGACTTTTGCAAAACCGAAAGGCAGTCGCAATCCCAGTATAGGTAACCTTTTGGCTTCACTTTTTTTTATTGGTAACTCTATAGGTCTATCTTTCGGTTATAATTGAACTTATTTCCTGAAAATGATACCCTTCTAAGTGAAAATTGTCATTATAGCGTCTGGTTCATAGGATTCTTACGCATGGATTTCAGATCCCATTGAACTTTAGATTGTTATCGTTTAATACTAGGTGGGACTCGTGTCCACCCAACACCAAATTGTGGGGTTTGCTTATGTTCGTGGTGGCATCTGTAATATGAAAAAAAAAACATGTAAAAGAGGACAAGATAGTCAAAAGGCAGCTCACATATTTTCTAAAACTTCGATGGTTATGTTTATGAACATTAAAAGGTTTTGAATTACAACCGTGAATTGTTCTATTTGATTCTAGGTAGTCGGTCGTTTAATACCATTGCTCAAATGTTGAGGTGTCAGGCTGATTAGACTATAACTAGTTACAACTTACAAGTGATTATTTGGCATCATTTAACTTTTAAACAAAGTAGTGACTATGATTTAACTTTATGTTCATGTTGAAGCTCATACGAGGACTGGGTGTGAATGTTGAGGCATTTGTAGTTTGTGAGAATTATTCGCCTCCTGACGGTTTCAACCCATAAGATCCAACCCCTGCTAGAAAAGGTGGGAAGCCCATCAGGAGGAGATGACTTAGGTAAACTCGATGTACGACCTTGATTGGGAGTTCACATATCGAAGGACCTGATACAACATGTTCTTGATCTTTAAAGATTAATATGTTTTACAGCTGGCTATGACCATGTCTTCTTGTCTTTAAACTTTATATAATTAGTGTCTCTGATTTCAATGTGATCAATTCCCTGGTATTTTTGGTTACACAAGAGGAAGTAATAGCATTGCTATTTTGCTGCATTGTGTCCCTCTCAGATTAAAGTATACATCCCAATAAAGTATCCCCTCAGCGGATATGATTCCGATCGTTCATACCCACTGCCCAGAGGTGCCGAGAGAACTTTGATCCTGTGCGACCTCCTATTGCCCCTCCTTACAACAGGGCTCTTGAAATGAAGAAAACCTTCCAGTGAAGGAATTCGAGAACTAAACCTTCCTTGGATTCCGGATTGTGCTATTCAATGTTGGATAACCTGCAAAGTTGATTTGGATGGACGGGTAATTATTAAGAAACAGCAATCATTTCTCCCTCCCCCCTCTCAGTCTCTGTCCTATTTTTGTAAAAAAAAAAAAAAAAAAAAAAATGCTGTGGATCTTGATTTTGATTATTTTAATCGAAATACATAAAGATTAAGAAGATGTATTATGATAAGCACGAGATTGTCCCGCACGAGTCTTACTCATCCTTCATAATTTCCATGGACATGAACCCCACCCCCATGCATACCACAAACAAAAACAAGAAAGGAAAATCATTTTGAGCATTACACATTTTTTAAGGGCATTCTACTGCATGTCGGTCTGCATGTTTCTATGTTTTTCATATGCAAATGTTTGGACAAACTTGGGTTTTACAGGTGGCCCCCCTGATTGTGAATCAACCAACCATCCTTGCTAATGGGAATCTGAGCTATTCAAAGGCGTGGCCCTCCAAATTCACAGGTCTAACTCATCCCTTTCTAACTGTTGCCTTCTAAAAATTTATGACCCGACATATCACGCATAGAGATTCTTGTTGTCTATCCCATTCCCTCCTTTTGGAGATGCCATAATTTAGGCGTTTAATGGTGGACATCATTGAACAAAAATAACTCAGTGAAATAAACTTATATGTTCTTTTTTTTTTTACCTCATCGAGTGATATATTGTAGATATCCAATTTATGTAATTTTATAATGAACAGATATCTGCTCGAGTTCAAGGCATTTAGACAAGGAAAGTTTCGAGCTTCGAAGATTGAAACTCGATTATCATCTGCTACAGCATCATCTTACAGAGACGGGCACGCAAAAGAATGTCTAAAATATCGACTATATTTTACATGCGTTCCGCTCCCACGATTACAGAACTTTCAGTAAGTACTTCCAGAGACTGAGTTTAATCTGGACAAAGATGAAGAGTGGTTTAAGAATTCGATGCAATCTTCGATTGCTTCAGCTCGGTGCGACTCCATGGAATCCGAAACCGATCTTGACCTTGTAAAAGTGGCGGCTGAAGAAACCTTTCGTGAAGATTTTTTGGTGGATACAAAGCGAATGGCTTCACTTACTCTGGCCTTGAAACTCTGTAGAAATCCCACCGGCAAGTGCCTTGAGTCTCTGCTCAGGCCGAAGCTCAAAGTTCCAGCGCCGTCGTCACCGCCGCCGTGTTTGAGCACGACTGTTGGGTTATCATTCACATCAGGACTGAAGCTGACCCGTTTGCTGGATTTCCTTGTCATTTCAACCTTACAAGTGAGATGTAAATCCAAGGGATAAACAGATATGGGTTTTAGAGAGAGACAGAGAGAAGGTAGTAACTTTTGTAGTCGGCAGAGAGGCTCAAAGTAAACGCTTGGTTTACGTTCAAATAGACATTTGATTTATATAAAAAGATTCTTGGTTTGGATTGAAGGGGTGGAGAAAGATTAGGTTTTTATATGGGTAATGCATGAAGGAAGGGTGTTATGGGAAGTGGATTAGGTCAGAAAAGAGATCAGTGGAGGCAGCAGAGAATAAAAAGAGGAAGAAAAAGAAGAAGTAGAAGAGGGAGAGAATCAAGGGGGGAGCAAGAGAGAGACAACCACTTGATACTCCTCAGCATCATCGTTGCTTTTGAGGCACAACGGAAGGGCCCTACAAGTTTCTCTTTAGATGGCCATCTTGATTCCCATTTGCAGTAGAATCACAGAAATCCTTCGCCATGGTTAAGGTTAGTGGGCCTCTCTCTCTCTCTGTGTGTCTCCTGTTGCTTGAATAAAACTTTTTCCCATTCACTTTTTCTTTTCTATTTTACTGTCCTTCGCAGAATAATTTGTCTTGAAAAATGTGCATGCTCTGAGATTTTTGACCTTTTGACTGAGAATTAAAGCTGAAGGGGGCCTGAATTCAATTCTTTACCTGTCTGTTGACTCCTCTTCATCTGTTCAACACCTTTAATTATACTGTGTACGTCATTGTTATGTTTTCTTCTACTTTTTTGCTTATGTTTTGTTCTACATCTTTAACTGAATTCTTTTTTGTTTCTTCTTTTTTCTCTCTCTAAACCTAAACTTACAGCCATTAGATTGATGAATCCACACGCCAAATGTGGTACTGACAATCACAATCAAAGAAAACCCCCCTTGGTCCTAATTCCTGTTCATTTACGCCATTTTCCCTTCACTATCGAATTTTCTTTTTAGGCTTCTCCTCAAGATTATTAAAATACTGATGTTAGTAAGATATTTCTACTTTCTTATAAAAAATGTTTTGTTTTCCTCCCAACCGATATGAGATCTCACAATCCGCCCCTTTGAGGCTTAGCCTCGGTATATTGCCTAGTGTCTGCTCTGATATCGTTTGGAACGGCCTAAGCCCATTGCTAGTAAATATTGTTCTATTTGGGCTTTCTCTTTCTTGCGTTCCCCAAGAAAAATGGTTATAGTAAGAGAGGTTTCTACACCTTTATAAATAATATTTCGTTCTTATCTCCGACGAATGCACTATTGCCATTGTAAAAGATTTTTGCACATAAAAATTTTAGGTTAAAATTCTTGCGTCGTGTCATTTCCTTTGAAATTTTACTAATATTATTTATTTAAGCTTCTGGTGCACCCATGGTTTTTAGTTGAAAATGATAGCTTCACGTTTATCTGTCCTTTTAAGTATATTATAATTTGAAGTTAACCAGAGATTAGTTATCATTCACGACCAACTTTATGTTAGTTTATTATTGATCGATCGATCAGTTTGACCGATCTTTTAAAAAGCTCCTCTTTTAGATGATGCAAGTTTCAAAATAAAAGTGTTATAATAATTTTAGTTTATTTTAATTATTTTATTAAAAATCGACTGAAATTATGGGTTCTTTAAATCCTTTCTGTGTAGGGGCAAAACGCAGAGGCGGCCCGAACTGTCAAAACGGGCTAAAGCTCTTTACGGTGGGCTTGACAAATTCAGTACGGGTAAGCCCATCAGAAATTACCTTTTTAGTCGTTTGATTTTTTTTATTTTTATTTTTATTTTCTGATGTGAGGGCCATTTTAGTCATTTACTATAGATATGGATTAAATTATGAGTTCTTCCTAATGGACAGAATTGATAATTGACTTGGTAGTATACATTTGATAATTTCACTTTTATTTATGAATAAAAATTATATAATAATAGAAACATCTGACCTAAGCTAACATAAATAATCAGAGAGAAAATTTGGTAATTATTTAAATCCATAAGTGAAGGTATAATGGTGTATTAGATAGATGTTAGAGTTTCCAACGTTTGGTGAAGAAAAAGCAACAAAGAAACTAAAAAATAATTGACCCAAAACCAGAAATTCCAAGCTGGGTGTGAATTATGAGAGTTGGAGGAAAAGCTGATGACTTCATGCGCTCATCTCATCTCAAACCTAAACCAAAACCAACCCCCCCCCCTTTTTTTTTTCTTTTATTATTTTAAACCATTTGTATCCATTAAAATATTAACTAGTAATTGTCATCGTGATATGAACACGAATAAACGATAATCCAAATTAGACGGATGGAAAAAAAGAAAAAAAAAAAAAGAGAAAAAGGAAGAAGCTTTCGTTGATTCCACACAGGAGACAAATCCAAAGAATTGGGAATGGAAATTGGAATGTCCACAAATGTAGTCTCCTCCAGTCTTCCCAGATGCTCTCCAATACCACTCGACGAATTTTTCCGTCTTTGTCTCTCTCCTTCTCTTTTGGGTTTTGGATTGCTTGCTTTGTTACCCAACTTTTCAAAATCATCAGACAGCTAAAGTTCATCCTCTTCCCAAAATCCCAACTCAGAAAGTGCAAATACCATATTATATGCTGTCAAGTGTCAAACTTCCTTTCATAATGAACACCATTTCTCTTTCTACAAAACTCTCTTTCTCCTCCCTTTTCCACTTCCGCCACTAAAGCCCCCTCCTCTTTTAGAATCCCACATTTTAGTCTTCTACTTTAAGCCCCAGAAGTAGGAGTAGTGTTGAGGCTAACGAAATGACTATTGCTGAAGTTAGGCCTGAAGATGGTGAGGATGATAGTCCTCCTTTGCTTGACCCTGAGATCAATTCCATACCTCGTCGTATTGCTCTCTTTATTGAGCCTTCTCCCTTTGCGTGAGTGTTTCTATGCTTAATCGATCTGTGTTTTCTACTGTTGAAGCTTCTATTGGCCTTGTGTGTTTGTTTCCCATCTTCTAGTTACAGGGAACCGCATTTTCAGCTGATCTTAAGATTTTGTTTCGACTGCTTTTTGCTTTTTCCCCATTGTACTTGTGTCTTACATGGCTTAATGCATCTATGGGTTGATATATGCTTGATGTCAAATGAAGGGTTGGTTTGGATCTTATTCCTGGGCATCCTAATTAGGCCTCTTCTTGAAGGGGCTATTTCTAACTTCATTGACTCAGCTTTTGATATGGGAAGCTACTTCGATCTTCGCAATGCATTGGCCCAAGTAGTCTCCGGGTTGCGGCCATGGCGGGTTTTCACATGTATCCTCTGGATGAATGTTTAGTTTCGTAACTTTTCTTAATGGACATTTATACAATATAATAAGTGTTGCTGAAACTTTTCTTAATGGACATTTGTGAACTATAGGGAGATTATTTCTTATTCTTCTTTTAGAGGAAAAAAACGAAGAATAAGAAATTCTCTCTCTATAGTTCACAAATCATAATACGTTAGGCCATCCTGTTGAAGAAATTTCTTCTTTTTCTTTATATCATTGACTTCATTGTGCTGATACTTGTCATTAAAATGTTGAATCACTGCATTGTTGGTTTTACAGATACGTGTCGGGATACAAAAACCGCTTCCAGAACTTCATTCGCTATCTACGTGAAATGGGTGACGAGGTTCAATTTTATCCCTTTCTTCTATTTCAGCTTCTATACATGCATTTTTAACCAATCTTGAATTCTTTAATTCGACAAGCTTGAGTATGTTCTATTTAATTATTTTTTGCTCGGTGTTAGGATACAAAACAAGCAATTCATATGGAAAAAAGAAAAAAAAAAGTTAATATTTTAGCAATAGAAAAGTTGACTTTTTCTATAATTTACTTAGGTGATGGTTGTGACAACTCATGAAGGTGTACCAGAGGAGTTTTACGGTGCAAAATTAATTGGATCGCGAAGGTAAGTTAGGTACTTCATGTCAGATGATAATATCTAAAACCCTGACGCTCAGTCCTTGCTCATTTTTGCTTCTTATCTCAGCTCTTTTGCTTTCATGAATGAAGTTCATAATCTCAAGCCTTCAGTTTCCGTCGAAGGTTCTATCTATTGCTCAACTGATCTTTAACTATTGGCAGCTTTCCATGTCCCTTGTATCATAAGGTGCCACTTTCTCTAGCACTTAGTCCAAGAATAATTTCAGAAGTTGTTCGGTTTAAACCCGACATCATACATGCTTCATCACCGGGGATAATGGCAAGTGTCAATATCATCCCATTGTATCTTGAAGTTCTTGAATTCGAACGTTATAGTTTGAAGTTTTTGAATTGAGCTAGCAGATTGACCATTGCCAAACTGTATTCTAGGTGTTCGGAGCTCTGATTATAGCAAAACTATCAAGTGTACCGCTAGTTTTGTCTTACCATACTCATGTACCAGTGTAGGTTCTTTTCTTATCCTTTTTCCTTTTGAACGTACTCCAATCTACTATCACCATCCAATTACAAGCATTGGAAATCCGTGAATGGTTATATTCGAGATCATCTTGTTGTCGATTATATCCGATACTACATTAACATGTATCTGTCTTTTTTAATGTGCAGATACATTCCAAGGTATACATTTAGTTGGTTAGTTAAACCCATGTGGCTTGTTATAAGTACGTGAAGATTTATTCTATTCCATCATATCAATATGAATGTTAAGGATCGCCATTTAGAATTCAGTCTTTCTTTTTAGAATTCCTCCACAGAGCGGCTGATCTTACCTTGGTTCCATCTGCTGCAATTGGCATGGATCTTGAAGCTGAAAGAGTGACAGCAGGTGATTTGAAATAGTGCATGAACTAATGAGAAGATTTATTTTATCATATTCTATTCTTGAAAGGGAGAGATTCATTTGACATCTTTTACTGTTAGAGCATATATTCACAAAGAGTTGTAGCCAAGTTATTTACTTGATTTCTCTTTATTTGCAGCTAATAAGATTCGACTTTGGAATAAGGGTGTAGATTCTGCTAGCTTTCATCCTCGCTTTCGCTCTCAGGAAATGAGATTGAGACTTAGGTGAGATTCCCAGCTCATATATATCTCTTAAAATCATGTAACTTAAGAAATTATCTCCTTTAACACGATCTGTCTTTGTCAAACAGTGGCGACGAGCCTGATAAACCACTGATAATCCATGTTGGACGACTTGGAGTTGAGAAGAGCTTGGATTTCCTCAAAAGGTACTGATTTTGTTAATTGAAATGTTGAAAATATGGTTAGCTTTCTGGGCCTTCTCTGAATTTTCTAGAAATTGCTGTTTAACGCCACCACATCATGGCCTAGAGTTTGGATGAGGTTGGAGTTCGCAAAATGATTAAGAAAAAAGTGGTCGTCTGAGTATGCTCAGATTTCACGTGTAATCCTCATGGAGAAACAAGTAGTACCAAAAACCAGAGAAAATTTTGTTTAAAGGGAGATTTTCTTGACGAGCTTCATTTTTTGTCAGAGAAATAGGAGGGTTTTAGGAGTGTAAATCATTTAGAGTATGACACATTTCAACCCCTCCAGTAGGTTTTAGAGTCTTTTTTGGTTGCCTGAGCATGACTTTTTTTGTAGCCGTACATATGTTCATATCTTGCAAACATTTCATTTGTTCTCACAACTTGATAGGATCATGGATAGACTTCCCGAAGCAAGAATTGCGATCGTTGGAGATGGTCCATACAGGTATGTGTTCTGGAATTTGAAATCTGTAATTAGCTTATTATCTAAACTAGTTAAATATGCTTTGACATAATATACTAGCTCAACAGACCAAAAGGTCGGAGGATCAAATCCTCTTTAGTCAAGATAAGATAAAGCAATGTAAAACAATTACATTTGAGATCCCACATCGGTTGGAGAGGGGAATGAAACATTCTTTATGAGAGTGTGGAAACCTCTCTTTAGTAAACGCGTTTAAAAACCTTGAGGGGAAGACTGGAAGGGAAAGCCCCAAAGAAGACAATATTTGTTAGCGGTATGGTATAAGAGCCAGGCACTGGGCGATGTGTCAACAAGGAGGTTGAACTCCGAAGGGGAGTGGACACCAGGCGGTGTGCCAGCGAGGACGCTGGGCTCCAAAGGGAGTGAACTGTGGGATCTCACATTGGTTGGAGTGAGGAATGAACATTTTTTATAAGGGTGTGAAAACCTCTTCCTAGTAGACGCATTTTAAAACTTTGAGGGGAAGCCTGGAAAGGTTTTATAAGGGTGTGAAAACCTCTTCCTAGCAGTAGACGCATTTTAAAACTTTGAGGGGAAGCCTGGAAAGGAAAACCCAAAGAGGACAATATCTGTTAGCAGTGGACTTGGACTTGGACCGTTACACAAACACTATAGGGAACTCTTTTCTTGACTATGACGTCATTATTGGTCTATATTGGTCTAAATGTATAAGTTTGTGGTGCACAAGCTACTTCTTTTTTACTTGATATATGTTGAACACTCGAAATTACTTAGTCATGGACAGAATTGTTTTATGTTTTGGTTTGTTTGTAACTGTATGACGTATTTTCTTTCATGACAGGGAGGAGCTAGAGAAGATGTTCACTGGCATGCCTGCAGTATTTACGGGCATGTTGTCTGGGGAAGAGCTATCTCAGGCTTATGCCAGCAGCGACATTTTCGTAATGCCTTCCGAATCAGAGACATTGGGACTCGTCGTATTAGAGGCTATGTCCTCTGGGATCCCCGTGATCGGAGCTCGTGCTGGTGGAGTTCCAGATATAATCCCTCCCGAACAAGATGGTAAAATCGGCCACCTTTATACCCCGGGAGACATCGATGACTGCTTAAACAAGCTGAAGCCTCTGTTGGACAATCGTGAACTGAGGGAAACAATGGGGAAAGCAGCTCGCAAGGAGATGGAGAAGTACGACTGGAAAGCCGCAACTCGAATAATCCGTAATGAACACTACAATCTTGCCATATGGTTCTGGCGCAAGAAAAGAGTTGAGTTTCTAAGACCATTTCAATGGCTGTTTAATCGAATTTTTCCATCCCCATAAGTTAATTAGCAGTGAAATGCTTCATATTTCTACCAGCTTGGTTTCAGTAGCAGAAGGTACATCTCCTTCTCCATTGGGAGAACACCCGTGTGATTGTTTGCTATAATATACATTCATTGTGAACCTGAAGAAGAAGAAAAACTTACCAACTTGGTAGTTTATATCGTCATTAATCCAACAGGTAGACTTTTAGTTCTATTTTGTACTGTTCGAGTGTTTCAACTCAAGATAACTCGTAAAATATTAAATTTTTGGTAAGCAGTTATCATGACTGTAACTCATTTCGTCGAGGTCTTTTTGTTGGCTCTGCAAGAACCATGATCATGCATAACTAGGTGACAAGCAAGTAAATATGATCTCACCTTCCATCCGTAGATGTGTGTGAGTTTTGCTCCAACTAGTACTATACTATGATTGACGACCCCTTATCTTCACTTGATACAAGATAGTTGAAATCCTCGAAAACTTGAAAATCTTAATCTAGGAATGTGGAACCACACAGCTACAAAGTAAATGGGTCGAGAGAGATAGTACAGTAAGCAGCTGAGTAGCTATCCAATCACTTAATCGATTAGGAAATAAGATTTCAGCATACAAATGAATCGATACAATTCGATAAATGGAACCAACATGGGATGGTAATGATAGAGAGTGGGTTCAAATTGGTTTGCCAAAATTGATTGTTAAAAGGTAAATTCATCCACCAATGAATGTAATTGAAGAACACAGTTGTGGTCTCTCTCTCACTCTCTCGACATAGCAATTGAGGAAAATAGATATGTTGTTCTAAAAGAAGGTCTTTTGAGCTTAGCACATTGAACTTCGCTCATATCGCACTTTCTCCCTTACAAATTCAGCTGCTTTGGTTACACCATTTTTGGCCATTCCCCCTTTGTGACAAGGACTGCACCTCACCATTTTCCACCTGCGTTGTCGACATCTCATTGGACCATTCCAAGCCATTCAAATTCCACATTTGCCCTTCCATTCGATCCCGTCCATAATTCTTTAACGTCTAAAATTGGTTAATTGTGACATGAATTTAATATCTTAATTAATTAATGAGCGAATTATAATTCAAAATTTCGACTAGAAATTAAATATTAAAATAAGAAAGAAGATGATCTCAATCATAGCAGTGGAATACAATTTTTTTTTTTTCCCTCACGTGGGAAAGTTACAAGCTATAAAGATCAATGACAACCTAGTAAACATAGTTATAAGATAAACGGCGCCGTTTTATGTTTCTTAATCAAATTCCACACACTCGCTCACAGTTTTAGAGACGATTTGGAACTTTATATATAATATAATATAATATAATATATATTGTTTTTTTTTTTTTTTTTTACTTTTTACCCCTAAACGGTAATTGGTTCGTCGGAAGATATTTTACTCTGTGGGTCCCACTTCATACTGTAGTTGTTGAGACATACTGCATAAAATCTGGGTCCCGCTCGAGGCCGGCCATTGTTTCCGGCGAGAGAACGATTTCCAGATCGATGCTGCCGTTACCATCTCGACCGGGGAAGGCGGAGATCTTGCCGTCGAATTTGTTGGCTCGCCCGCTTCGGACGGCGATTGGACGGCCCCAACCGAAATCGTTGTCGTACATCGGAAATCTCGGCGAGCTGCCCATGGTGATTGACGCACCGTCGTTGTTTCCGAGAGGGAATAGCCGTGGATGGCTCTCCCAATTGGCGATTTCCCGGCGGACGGTGGCGTCATCGTATGCCACTACGTTTTTATGCAGCAGATCGGCGCACCACCAGAGATCGTTCGACAGAAGCTCTCCGACCGACGCCACTGTCGGAGTACTCTGTATCGCGTTGCCGAAGTAATACGGCTCCAGCCGTGGGTATAGCCGGTGACGGCAGTTCACCGCTATACGAAACGTCGTCGTTTTAGATGGGTCAAGTTTCCTCGCACGTGTCACAGAGCGCCACAATTGTGCGCACAACGATTGGAAAGACGAAATCTCAGCCGTCCGATTTGGGACGTTAGTTTTAATCAAATTCTCCAAGACGGACGTTATATTCCCGTTGACGGTTTTCCAACTGTCATTCCCCTGTTTCCCCAAAATCTCAACAGCGTCGGTAAATCCATTAACCGGCTTCCATCCGGCGATCTGGTTGTTCGTGTTGGCCTTCAGCTTCAGCTTCAAAATGGATTCTCGCGAAAAGTGAAAAATCCTCTCTCTCAACGGCTCATCGCCGTTGAACGTCACCACCGGTCCACCTTCGGGAAATTTCAGAACCGCCGGCGAGTTGAAAACAGTGTCTCTACAGAAATCCGGCGACTTCGATATCTTCTTAGTCCCTTTGCAAATTTCAGCCAATGTGTTAAAAAAGTGCCAGAAAGAGGTCCCGTCGGTGACGGCATGGTTGACAGTACACCCAACAAACACTCCATCAGCTAGCTCCGTCACCTATCAAAAACAAATTCAAATATTCCGCCGTCAAATTTCAAAACAGGGGATTCATTGTTTGAGACATGTTACATTCATTTAAAACATCATGAACAAACCTGAACAGCTAGCAAGGGCTTAAAGTGGCCGGAGTAGCTAATAGTGTGATCGAATTGAAAAAACTCCTTGAAGTAATCGGGGACATCGCCGGGAGAGAGAAGGGTATTAAGAGTAACATGTTTAGCCTTCGCCTGAACGAATTCTACCCCGGAATCATTGCAAAGGATGTGGACATGGCTGTCGGAGTCAGTGGAGAAGCGGCCGGCGAGAGGGGGGAAGTGGGAGAGAGTGGCGGAGAGAGCTCGTTTGAGGAAGGAGAAGAAATCAGAAACAGAGTAAGGAGGAGAAGGAAGAAGAACACCCTTTTGAATATAGTGACAGGAGAGCATCGGAAGATCGGAAACAGAGAGCTTGAGGGAGGAGAGGGAGGAAGGTTGATCGGGAAAAACAGAGCATCGAGAGAGAATAGAAACGGAAGAGGAAGGCATGGTTCGGTTCGATTCGGTTTGGTTCGGTTCGGTTCGGTTCGGTTGTGGAAATTAAGGTTGGGATTGAAAGGGAGAGGGAGGGGGAAGGGAGAATATATAGGAGTTGGATTCATGCACTTTGAGTACTTGGGGGAATTGGGATTGGACCTACAAAAATAATTATTAATATAAAAATGATTAATCTATGTGTCAGCTTTGGAATGGATGACGTGGCGAGAAGAGAATCCAGTCAGAAGGGGAGACTAAGGTTGAAGGAGGACACATGGATTCTTTACTCTGCCCAACACTAAAAAACATGATCCCTTCCATCTTTGTCGGACCAAAATAATTAAAAAAATATCATCTTGATGTTAGGGAAATTAACAAATTCTTGAAATATATATACATATATATATATATATATATATATATTTAATTTTGTATTTAATGGAAATTTATCGTTGTTGTCACATAAACGACGAGTATTGCGTTAGCGTGCAGTTTTGCTTTATTTTGTAGGTCACGTTCTTCCCTTTATTGTCATGTGAATGTCAGCTATTGTAACACTCGAGTAAAGGAAGAGTATATGAATGGACTGATGTCACATTCAAATGAGAGTAATACTAACTATACCAACAAGGTACAACTTCGTTTCCAGTAGCTTAATCATAAGAATTTCAAATGTAAACATGTTTTGCTAAAAGTAGTTTTCTGTTGGGTGACCAACCTCCTGAGAATTTTCCTAGGCAAAATATACTGCACTCTTAGAAGTGAGGAATGAGTGACACGATACAAAAGAATGTCAGGGTCGTTAAATGCTAAATTTGGATTCTAAATCCTTAGCCTGGGTCATTATTGCTACGCTATCGATTTAAATTTTGGGAACAACATCACTAAACTTGTCATATTCACTTGGTTGAGCTGATCCATAATTAGTTGAGCTAAGGTTGTCCATATTATCTTTATATTAATATTGATTATATAAAAGTGTTACATTAGTGTAAAATGGAGGCTAAATGTTCCTTAAACACTGTAATCATTACCCTTTACAAATCACGAATACTAGGAATAAAAATGGAAAATTGGTTGGGATTGAATAAAACCGAGACACATAGAGGTCTACATTGACAAGACACAACTCAAGAACATCACTACATCACCCCTTTAATGTTCTTGTTCATGCACCTCAACCAACAACACCTCCCTTCTCTCTTGTCTTCCCCTATCCTTACCCTTTTTCTTTTCTACTCTTCTTGATTCGATCAAATGATTTAGCTACCGACAATTGGTTTCTGAGATCCCACGTCGATTAGAGAGGAAAACGAAAAATTTCTTATATGGGTGTGGAAACCTCTTCTTAGTAGACATGTTTTAAAATCGTGATACTGACAACGATACGTAACGGGTCAAAGCGGATAATATCTACTAGCGGTGAGTTTGAGTTGTTACAAATGATAGCGAGCTAGACACTGGGCGGTGTGTCATCGAGGATGTTGGGCCCTCAAAAGGGGTGAATTGTGAGATCCCACGTCGGTTGGAGAGGGAAACGAATGTGGAAACCTATCCTACTAGACATGTTTTAAAACTGTGAAGCTAATAATAATATGTCACAGACAATATCATGGATAATATCTACTAGTTATGGACTTGAATTGTTACATAGTTAAATCATAATCTTATATTCTTGATTAAGAGCTGAGTAGTTCAACTCTCTCCTCTCTTACTCGTTCTTGAACTAAAACGAAACCGATAGTATTCATTTCCATCTACCCTTCTCTTATTTTATCATTCAATCATTAAATACGAACTCAAAAACTAAAGTATCCACACATGTTATACATTAAGTCTTCATCATTGATAATCATTGTGAGATATGCCCACAATTATTGGATCTCTACTATATTTATTAATCGACGAAGCTGGTTTTGTTATGCAATCATAATAAAATATGTGCATTATGTGCATGTGAGTATATACTTCTTCTATCAAAAATAACATAACGATTTTGACAGAACTAAAGATCGAGGTAATCGACGATTCTATTTTTGAAAAATAAATAAATAATTCAAAAACAATCACTATTATTTGATTTGGTGACTTG